TACTTGGTCCGATGTTGGGGAACATTATGTATTGACGACTGTTGAAGCTCGAGTGTGCCGGAGGCGCAAAACGGATTCGCTGACATTTGCCAATTGTCGTTTCTGCAAATACATCGAACAAGTCCGCAGTTGCCAACGAGCTTTTTTTTTGCGGAGAATCGCGTGGCTTACGTCGGTAGCACAGATGGCCGCCCCATAAAAACAGAGGCCTGGTGGACGGGCAGAAAAGTGAGAGAGGAGTAATTACTCTTAATGTAGGAGCTGCAAGAAATATCTCGCAGCTGCACTGAGTAGTTGGGATGCATATATTTGACGCAGACGCGCTTTGACGAGCACCTGCGCAAATGCTCCGAGAAAGCATCTCGTATGGCATCCGCATATGCCTAATGTAGGGGTCTCTGGCCATATACCTAGGACGCTGCTGACTAAGCTGTAGTTAAAATTGCATTCTTCTTACGCGCCCCTGTTTGGCTATGCCATGCATCGTCATACCGCCCGTGAGACTAAGCGGTGCATAGAAGGGTCCGCCTTGCGGTTGCTCGAGCGTTTCGCACCGATCCTATGATGCTGTGTGTGTTAGCAGATAATGCCTCCGATCGCCTCATGCGCAGGAGAGAGTAGACCTATTTGCGAAGCGGGAGGCCTCAAATGATACCATACGAAAGAAGAGTAGGCGTTAGCTATGAATCCCACACGCTGCGGGTTGCGGGCCCCGCTGTGTCTTTAGAAAATTTTCCCCTGCCCATGTAAAAAACACACACACACAAACAAGATGGTCATTTGTACTAAATTAGTCGAGAGAAAGGAGGATTAGCCAAAGTACATACTAAATATTATAGTTTATTTACTTTATGCAAATAGCACCACATTCATGTTTGTACCGAGACAAAATAATATATCTTTAATACTCTAATATAAATGTTATTTACAAATGTACTTCAGAAGAATAATTTTTAATACAAAATAAACTATTTTTTCCCCATTGAAATGTGTACCATCAAATGTGACAACAAGAACACACTCTTGTCATATGTTCATTAATAGGAGGGAATATTATTACAAAAAATTTGAAATTTTGTCACATTAAGTACAACACACTAATTACAAGGATGATAAAACCATTAATTTAATTCTGTAGCACAAGTATTTTCATGAAAATAAACAGGCCAAATCACTTTCTTTTTAGGAAACTAACCCAATAGTGAAATGTTTGGGACTTTCTGGAAGCCGACTGGAAAAGTCTGCATCTAGTAAAAAGTAAACACAAAACAAATCTGTTTCTTTTAACAAGAATAAATTGTGTGAATGAAGAAGTACATACCACTATTTATGGACTGTTACACTCACAATGTTATTGATTACTGAGATAGAGAATTTTCTGTTTCATTTCAAGCAGCACATCACTGAGTTCAACACACACTATTAAAGAATTAAAAATTTTCTTGTTAATAAACTGTGCTCTGCAATCCAGGACAATATTCAATGATTTTTTAACAAAAAAAATTCAGGCACCAAATCGAAGTCTACGTCACATCAAAAGATTTGTAAGTCACTGATTCAATCATGATTTGTATCCCATGACTCACAATACAAACAAGACTCCAACACACAGACAAATAATTGTCGCCCAAATCTCTTGTACTAGAACACGGACAAATAAATTGAAGTTTATTTTCCCCTCTGTTCTGTTCATAGCACAATCATTCACATGAAAATAATGCCTGTTTGGAACCACGAAGAATCTGCTGAAGAATACCCTGACGTTTAGAAGTTCAGTTAATCATATTTCTGTGCTGCAACATTGGCACTACTGAGACGTTAGAAAATGAGACAATAGCGGATCACTTCCATAATGTCTATTTAAGCATCCACTGTCTTTTGGGCATTGAATACGACTACCTCGATGTTCTCAAGAGGATAAAGTGTTGAGCGCATTGCTAATGACAAACAGTAAAGAAGTCTTTTGAAATTTTTAAATTATTTTTCAATACACTGCTTACTAAATACAATTCTTTGGAACAAAAATTTCCAATCCTCTTGGGACTGACCTCAATTCGAAAATTCAGTCTTATTTATTTTCAATCAGCCTTTGTAGCTTCTATTTGCTTTTTCATTTTGCAAATTATGTATTTTATATGTTCACATTTATATTAGTATTGTCTTGAAAAATTAAAAAAGGAGAGCAAATTTTGCTGCTAATGGATAATGATCTGATGGAGAACTGTCATTGGGAATGGGGCCCACATCTTCTGCCTCATCTGCACTGAGCAACTTGTAGCGAGCCACTAGCTTCAGATTTCCTTCTTCTTTGCTGGACGTGTCTGGATTCCATTTATTACTACAAAGAGAAAACAGACTTAATGTACAAATTTATGAATGTTTTTCCTTTAAAGATAAACTAAATCTGAGAACAACAACCTATAGAAAATGTAGTCGACAACCACCCATCTGTCCTGAAATGTTGAAACTTGAGATCTATGAAAATAGTCTTGTGGATCATGTGAGTACACAGAACTCAGGTGCAAAGCATGTCGTAACTGACCAGTTGAAAACCTATAAACAAAACAAAAACAAGTTACTTAAAGTATGTCTTGAAAGTGTGATTTTTTTTATAATTGTAATAGTGTATTTTGCAAATTGTAGGTTAATTCCTGAGTCTAATTATAGCCTGATTTTCCTAGGACTTTTCAAAATCCAAAACTAAATAAATTATTAAAAAATAATTATCATCATCATCATTAGCATAAAGCTATTCTTAATTTATTTTAAAACACAATTTCACTGAGTTGTACTCAATATCAATTTAATATATCTAATTATGTACTTTTTTGGAGATGTCACATATACTTGGTTTAATTCCTTGCTTTCTGTGATTTCAATGTTTCCTGACGATGAAGTATGCTTTGTAAAATCACTGTTGTATATCTGAAAATACAATAAATAAGGATATTTAATACAGAAAGACATGTTACATAAACACTCTCTTTAACAAAGGGTACTTCAAACATACCTGCAACAATTTTCTTTCAGTTTTATGATCATCTTTGAATTTTCTTTCATACTCAGGTGCAAACTGTAAATCACGCTGAGTCACTAAACTTATGTGCTGGCAATAGTCTGTCACACCCAAGAATGGGGGTATGAGCTCTTTGCCTAAAATTCTTCCAAGACCATAATATTCAGTTGTAAGAGTTCTACTGCATAGACCATCATAACGGAACCAACCCATATTAAGCAACTGGAATCCTCCACTATTGGGTTCAAAATTCATATCACCCGTAAGAATCACAGGCCAGTATTTTGTATTCTTTGTGCTAGTAAAAACAGGGATCGATCATTAATACTCTTCACTAATTATGTCACTTATACTAAAAATTGTCCTCAAAAAGTATTTTGATTGTCATTATTAACTTTCCCTGGTTCAAATGGAACTTAAAAGAACAATCTTCATCAAAGGACTAAATTACCAATTGTATATATTTAACTAGTGGTCTACAGAATGGCAGTCTTTCTTGTTCTAGTTAGTTTTCTAATATCGTTAGTCGGAGTTAACTTTTCTGATTGACCCCACCCCAGTAGCGTAACAAAAATATTGCAGGCCCACCTGCAAAACTTTTATCAGTGCCCCCTTTATAAATGTGTATAGCTAACACAAGTACTGTTTGTACCTTAAATAAAAATAGCCCCTAAAAATAGGCTCTCTTCTATCTAGGCCCACCCGCAGTGCAGGCCTTGCAAGCCTGAACGCCACTGCCCCACCCTCTTCCCAGCTGCTATCTCTCGAGGCCTAAAAGACCCATCAGGACCTCTCACTGTACCAACTGCTTCTCTGGAAACATTCCCAGTTAAGAGCATCGTTGCACACTCAAATAACAGAAATCCAGTTCCCCAATTACACACACAATTGCCATTTAGGCCAAGAGATAATGGAAGCATTGAGCAGGTGTGGGTGGGTGAAATACATGAGGGACTTGGAATGATCTAAAGTCATGAATACAAATTAAAACTTTAAATGTCTAATATAAGTATTGAATTTGCAGTTTTAGTGACTATGTACTCTTGGTTGGTGGGTGGATCAATGAATGATTCTTTTTATAGGCCCACAATATTAAAAAAATGTCAGACCTAAAGACTTAACATGTTTTGCAGTACATGTCGACACACTGAATCCAAATGTCATGTCAGAATTGCGTTACCACCCTTCAGTTTGTTTTTTTCATTGCAAAAACTTCCTGTAAAATTGTATTCTTTTCGCAATTTACAATTTCACAGTGGATATTCACTATTAAAAAAAATCTGGAAGTGGATGGCGCAATTCTACCTTCAGACTGTCAACATACACTGAAAACATGTATCAAGTCTTACGCCTGGCAACTTATGGATTCTGTACAATAAAATCCTACAAGACATCAAAATCTAGTATTTGCACGTGTTTTTCACGAATTTTTTACATATTTTTATTAATTTTTAAAATTTTATTTATTATTTTTTAAAGAGTGTGATGGCTTAATTCTGACTTAGGATTCAGATTCACAGTGTCAACATACACAAAAAACATATCAATTCTTTAGGCCTGCCAATTTTTTTATTTTGTCTGCCTGAATTATTCAGGAAGGTCACTTATTGGAAGAACGCATATACGCTGTCTCAATACTAAACTAAAACATTTTTAAAATACAAAGGAAAGCTACCTACAGAAAATAAAATAATATATTCTCTGCATGTAGTCTTGGGGACATTTTCAAAATTTTCTCAACAATGGCTTCAAATTTTGTCTTTAAATTTCTCTTTTGAAGATGCAATAGGAATCATCATAATGAGGCTGCAAAGATGGTGAGATTTTGCAGCGAAGAAGCAGAACTCGTTACGAAAGCAATGTTAAAAAATTTCTTCAAAACAACACCAGGCTGGTTTTTTTTAAACTGTCTTCATGTTTTCTGTTGCTTTGTTCTAAAAATCGTGTACTTTGTAAAATGTTGAACTGTGTATAATGAAAGTTTGAATGTATTTAGCATTTTCTTAACCCCTCCCTGTTTCCAACATTTTCTCTTGTCTAACATGTTGCCCAATTGTTTGTGTTGGTAACTGAGAATGTAATTTATAAGTAGTAAAGGAGAAAGTAATATACTTTTTTAAATACTCACAGTATTTAAAAATTAATATACCACACAAGTAGTATACAAGAAAATAAAAAGGAAAAAAGGAAAGAAAGAACCCCCCCCAAAAAAAAAACTTGGATCATTTATCTCTTAATAATCTTTCAAGTTATCAGCACAATAATTGAGGAATTTATGTTCTCCACAAATAAACATTATGATACCCAGGGCTCCAAGAAGGAAACGGTATAATTTTCAAAAGATGCTCACTCATGTAATGCTATGCATGTCTAATAAACTAAAAACCATGAAAATATTTTCCCCACACAGTAAGTAAAAGGTCACAATATCATGTACAGATGCGTTCGTTTTATGCTCACCTTTCATCAATTTCTTTGAAAGCATATCTCTCAACTTCGGCCAAAAGTAGTTGAATTTGGGCTAATTTAACATCGTGTCTCTTGGGATTATATAATAAATGAGTAGTAGCTACCACAACTCGTTCATCAGGCTTTACATTGGGTGCCAATTTTACAATTAAACCTACATTATCTCGATTGAGCACAGACACACCGGGTTGATAATACTCCACAGTTGTGTAGTCAACAAGTTGAAATGTTGAGTTTCTAAAATATATGGCAACACCATCTTTTTTCCCTCCTGTTCTCTGCTTAAACAAGCCTGTGTACCCTGTAAACACAAAGATACTAATGTATTTTTAAGTTAAGGTACAGGAGCAAAGTAAATGCTACAGTAATTATAGTAATAAATAAAGTGAGTACCCATTTTTTGAAGTTCACTGTAAAAAGACTTCAAATGGCTTTCTTGAACTTCCTGGAGACAGATAACCTAATAAAAATGAAAATTGATCTTAGCGCATTTTTAATATGCATAAACAATCAATAATACGGTTTTCCCATGGTATGTAGCATTAAGACACTGCCAATAACTTTTACATGTTTCTCACTGATCTATTTCACTGAAGCTCTCTAGCAATGGCTTCAGAGAAAATATATATTATTTCAGGGTTACAGAAAACTTTCGAGACTTCATACATTAGAAAGGATTAAGATCTTATTGGTTTTGTCCAATAAAGTAACAAAACACTACTGCTGAATTTAATAAATTAAGTAAGATTTGAGGAATGTTTTGAAAAATGTAATCTAACTAAACATCATTGGGATGAAACAACAAATTCTTTTAAACAAAGAAAAAAGCCAACAACAATAATCTTCAAGAAAAGCTTTTTCCAAAACTACAATATTCCACTGAATTTGAATAAAAATCCTTTACTGTTGGCCACAAATTACTTTCATAGCAATTTGAAGAATGAGAAATACTGAATTATTAATTGTACCTCTTGATATTCAACGTCAGGCATAATGGCAGATTACAAAAGAAGTTAAAAAGTGAAAAACGCAAAATATTAGAATTTTCAAGGAAGCTTAATAGATTTTAAAAAGAAACTAAATAACAAATTATTAATCTTCCTTAGGGCCAAATTTACAATTTTAGAATTTGGAAAGATGATTTTGTGGAAATTTTATCAGGTAAATATAGTAAGAATCAACATAATGCATTCTCCAATAACAAGTTTATTCAAAGTCAAACGACATTAAATTATGACACTGCAGGCACAAAGACAAATGACATTAAAGACACTCAAAGCAATTCCTCTTTTGACAGTTGACAATACTTTAAAAAAGAAGGTGATAATTACAACCTGCATATGGCGACTTTCAAGTTTCAGAATATATGCTTTTCACTAACGAAACTGAATGTTTTTCAGTAAAAATAATAATAAATAAACAAATAAAATTACAAACTACTAAAACTTATTTATACACTAACGTCAGCATCGAAGTCCACAAACTCTTTCATCAAGAGCTTACTGCGAAATTCCCAGTTGAGACAGTTGGGATTATGATGTTGGTATAAATCCATATGTTCTTCCATAATTTCTTGACAAAGTACATTATATGACAAGACATTAAACAACAAGTAATCTCTTTCATTAGTTGATGTACCTAAAATAACAGAGAAAATATGTAATTAAGACAATTGTACTATATAATTCTTATTAAATATTACACTTTAGCTTCAGCCTTGTCTATAATACAATAAAATCTCTTACACTGTATTATAACAAACCTAAAATTTATAAATTTTCACCAAGTTTTTATTACCTTTGGTTTTGTCTGACATCATTTGTCCAAAATCAGTCCACTTCCAGTTTCTTTTGATATTAGTTTTACTTTTTCTTCTGTATTTATTTGCTCTTTTTCCTGACAATCACAACAACAACAAAAAAACACTATATTTCTATTGCGTTATTTCAGTTATGGTAGTATAAAAGCAAAAAAACTGAATAAATTAAAATGTACAAAAGTTAATAATCTTATTCCTTTAATAATCTTATTCCAACCAATCATTAATAATTTTAGTCCATTAATAATATCATTCAAGTATTTTAATGAAAGAGGATAAATTATATTTTTTATTCAAGGTGTATTGAATCTAAAGCAGGTATCGGTAAGCAGTCTAAATGAAAAATTCTAGATCTACATCCACGAGTATGAGCATTAGAATGTTACAGAGCATTCGCCTCAAGATTTGCTTATCTCACAGATAAATAATTGCAACATTTTAAGTACAACATTGGAAAATACTAACTCACTTAATCTTGGGCTGACATGAAGGGCTTATGGGCAAAATGTTTTAGATCAAACCTCATAATGAATGTGAACAAAAATTTGAAATGGCAACCATTTAAATCACAAAACAAATTCCATAGTACACCATTAATCAAACACAATTAATAGTAATCCATTAATACGAAGTTTAAATTTTAAGATGTGTATCATATTTAACACATTGAACTTTACTACATATAGAATTTCTTACTCCTCAGCTTCAGTTAAGAAATGTATCAGATAGGAGGGAAATAACACAAAGGTTCATCTTGGATTAAATGCTCAGTAGAAACAGAATATTTTCAAGTGATAAGCATATGATTATCTCACCACTTGATGGTCCAGAAACAGCTTGATCAGATTTCAGTATAGTAGAAACACCATCTCCTGATGGCACAGAAGTGTCAGCAGAAATAATATTTTTTTCTTCTTCAGTAATTAAAACATTTTCACATGTCTCTTTCACTGAGGTACACTGTTCAGGAACTTCATGCAAAATGAAGTTTTCATTAGTTTCTTTGCTGTCGTCATTTTGAGTATTCTCTCCACAAATGTTTAGAGGACTCTCATTAATATTTGAATTACAATGTTCTGATGCATATTTATTCTTTTTTACAAGAATATTGTGACATGGTTCAAATGATCTACCTCTTTTATGTGATTCATAGATAATACAGATATCGGAATCATTAGACTTATTTTCAGGAGATGTATCGAGTAAAATTACTTCAGTCTTTTTGGAAATTAAAGTCTTTGGTTTTGATGAACGTTCTTTGACCTTTGATTTTTTGTGATGATGACTCGCCTTTTTCTTCTTTTTCTTCTTAATTGATTTCAGTGAACTACTCTTCAAGTGACGCTTTTTATGTACTTTTTTATCTTTATGCTTTGAATCAGAACTATCCTCAAATTTGTGTTTTGGCATTGTTACAGTATTATTACTTTGACACGTGCAAAACACTACGTCATGGTACCATAAAGGTGCAACAGGAAATTTGACTCCAAGAACCTGATTTTTAAAATTATTTTTATATATTTTGCAGAAGAATGACTTTCTTGTACTTTGATAAATTTCATGTACTAACCTAAAACGTGACTGCCTTAGAACACTGCCTAATATTTCATAAAAAGCAAACGTTCCCATAATTTTCCGGCACTATCAATGGCATAATAAAATGTCCTGCTTCAGCAAAGTCAGTCAATCAACATTACAAGGAGCTGTAAAAATATCCTGAAAGCATAAGAAAAATGCATCTAGTGATGTACACGATAAATATTTTGTACTTATTTGACCCTAACTTCTCAAAACAAAGATTATCTGGTCACATTACTTTTCATGAAATGAACAGAATCACAGAATTTTTTTCTTGGAAGGTACAATTAACTATACACTAACCACAATATAATTTAAGAAAATAGATTCAATATTAAAACTCTATACTAAATGGTATTTCTCAAACTGAAGGCACCTCAAGCTATTGATATTTCTTATCATGTATTCATTTTGAAAACGGTTACAAACTCTTTTAGACTTTCAAAAATTATGCAAACAAATTTCTAACATTTTTATTATTTAACCATTTACTTTTGTAATTTGTTCTTTTTTAATACATTTATAACATATAAAATAATAAATAATTTAAATGTTGTCTGAATGCACAAAGAACCTTATAAGGTTCAATAAGTGATGCAAACATCTTAATTTAAATTTTTGCATAGTTTCATTAGTTGGTTAACATGACAAACAAGTCCATTTACAGGTAATGCATATTAATTTGTTTGTGGTCAACAAAATACACGGGAAGGGCAGTCTCCAATATGCTCCACTATCTGAACATTTTTACACATCAAAGAAGGAAAACCAAAAACAGTAAAATTTGTTTAAACCAGATGCTGTACAAGCCAGAAACCTGCCTTAAAATTTCTCTGGCCCGTGATGTTAAATGGCATTTTACACAACATAAAACGGAACCTCTCCAATGCGGGAACGGAACGTTTTTTCATATCCTGTAGGAGAATAAAAATCTTAATAAAACGGAATTCCTAAGAATTTATTGAAATTGACAGAGATATGTTTTTAATGAACTGAATGGATCTGCAAGTTGGTTTTAAATTCTCTATCCCTGTGACACGCGATTTAGTCGTGGAAACGTTGAGAAGAATGGGTTTCAGCAGTCAATGTAGAATTCGGCATTGCGGTTGCCTCTCTCTCAAGACGTAGGGGATTTCCCTTTCTCCTGGCTCTGAGCATGGCTTCGATTCATGCGTCTCCCTGACCTGCATTGAAAATAATAACCCTTCGACCATCACTCCAAGCCACGCCAGGGTATCAGAAAGTCACAATATTGGGTTCTGAAGCACTGTGTAGTATGAAAACAGCCAGTAAGATGTGTATTTTTCAACTCACAAGCTGTCAACATTTATTTGGCGATGTTTTTGGAGGGTTTCATGGTGATTTCTTCCATAAATACATTATATGTTAATATTTTGATAATTATAATAAAGTCTTGAAATTTACTACCTGCAGGGCAGAAATGTCAATATCACAAGTGTCATAAAATGGACAACCTTGCATAAAGCAGAAAACTCCCAATACTGGATCTTTTTTATTTCCCAATCGATTCCCGCTTACACAGATTTTACAGTAGTAAGAGTGCAATGCAAACGAAAAACGTTACAGCATGCAAAGGAGTTCAAATGATAGTAATCAGATGCTTCATTATGTTCAATTTATAATATGATTAATTCATATATTTTGTAAGTAGACCACGAATTCAGGTAATCTGTTAAATGACTTCTCTACAAAATCTTTATTTATAATGCTTTTCAATGGAGTGGTTTAAACAAAGATATAAACACAAATTATACCAGTTAAAGACTCGTTAGATGCCAAATTATTTCACATCATGTAAAAGTACTTTTCTTCTTGAGAAATATACACGGGATAATTTTAATTGCTAATAAATAATCACTATTCAAAAAATGAAGAAAATTAGCTATGACAGATTTCAAATTTTCTTTGTTTGGAAGTAGAATGGCAATGACTTCATTAACATTAACGATTTTCCATCCTATTCTCTAGTATTTTTAAGATAGGCATGTAAAAATCTCATACTTCAAGGATCATAACTAAATGTAGATTTAAAAAACCTGCTTGTGTGATACACACACACCCACGCACGCACGCCCCCCCCCCCCACACACACTTCACTTTCAAGATAATTTTTAAAACTGAAACTTTATAATCAAAACATAATCTCATCTAATTATTATTAATTTCTAAGCTAAAACAGGAAGTAAAATATGAAGTATCTAGTTTTCAATTTGTGTCCATGACAATAAAATCTTCAGGCTGGACAGAATTTGCTACCGATGATCTGAAACATATCCCTCAGTAGCATAGTTCCCTCAAACCACTTCCTTCAACATGAATGTTTAAAAAATAACATGTCAGTCCCTCTAACTGCAAATTTGTAGTGTTATATGAAAGTTGCAACCATTTAAAATTTTTTCGGTATCTTCCTACCACAATACTGATAAAATATTTTTTCCTTAATGCAATTAAATCTTGAAGCACACCTTTGTACAAATTTTCGAAGTGACAAGTATTTTTCACAGGATTTTCATTTGTCATTAATGAAAGTTACAAAAAATTCTCAAAAGCAGTACTTAATTTTTTCTTTACCCCCTCCTGGATAGAGCAAAGGATGAGATGCTTAAAAAATGGCATAGATTCCATTTCTGGCGAACTCAGTATTTTCAAAAATTTCAAAATTCCCATTTCGATGATAGAGGAGGATAGATTGGTAGAGATGATAGAGGATAGAGAGGAGAGATTTCCTTAATAATGTCTGCTTTAAAAAAATTGATCTTTAAATAAGATAATGTATTTTTGTTGGAGTTGAAAATATGAGTAGTCCTTGCGTAATTTTTTCTTTGGCTAAAAGCAATTTAAAAAAATTTCTCCAAAACTGTTCCAAATTTTGTCTTGTTATTTTCCTCTATTCTTTAATTTTTAATAAGAGCAAAGGATTCTAATAAAAACAGTTCCATTTTCACTGAATTCTCTGAATTCTAGAAAACTTGCAAGAGTAAGTGTCATTGTAGCATCACTAGTTTGATATATCAGTTTTCCGGACACAAAATCATCCCTTTCCACTGCAAAATTACAATATCTTATCTTTACTATGTAAGTGTGTAAAAGTGAAAATCAAATTGACAGAATAATCCACTTCTAAGAAATATACATAAAAACGGGGTACTGGCTATTAATATTAAAATATGTGTGGATTGGATGACTGCAGAATTACAGAATAATTTGGAAAAAATAGAAACTTCTAATCTGGATTTTAGAGCTATGATAGGACCCAAATGTATGTCAAAACCCGAATTGCTGAACACTAAAATGCTCACTGCCAAACAAATAAAATAAATTGAAGGGGAGACAGATCATATAGAGCGTAACCCAAAAATAAAAGAAATGCTATTCAAGTAAGTAATGGAATAATGAATGCTTGGTAAATGGAAATTACTTCCTGGACGTTGGATGGATAGGGCACAACAGTATTGGCAGCGTATAAGGAAGTCTGATAGTTCGCTCCACATGCTCCAACATCTTTACCGCATAAAGTATGTCGCAGATGAAATAGTAAAAGTGTACGTAACTCTATTGGACTTCTGACTCCTATTGGTATAGACATTTCACAAAGTTCTTTCATCCCCTACTTTGGATCCTGAAATCAGTTCAATTAGTTATTATTGCTTGATCCTCTCCTACATTATTTCAGTAGTTGAGATAAGTTTTGTGACTCTCACTATCAATATCTATATCAATCAATATATATGAATGAGATCTGTTAAAAAAAGAGAATTTCACTGCACTTTAGTTTTAAAAATATGAAGGATTTGTTGGAGGGGAAAAGAAAAGAAAACAAGTAAATATTCATATCCAATGCAACCTGTACCTCTCAAGACAGCATCGTTAAAACCTATATTGTTATGTGACTCCAAAATGCATTTTGGGAGTCGTAAACCTTGGAAATTTGAGGCCAAAGGCCGCAAAAGTGTAAAAGGTAGGAAAGTGAATATTTGAAAATTGTTTGAGTAACATTATAAAGAATGGAGAAGGTGATGACTGCATGGTTTTGGATGAAGAAAAGTTGGAGATGTATTGTAAATAAAGTTAACTATGAGGTAAAACAAGTAACATGATTTAGTATATCAAAAAGTGCTATCTGGAATGAAATATATTGCAAAGGGATTAATTTTCAATAGGTTTATGACCCTAAACACATTTTGAAATGGTCTATGAGTTACTTAAAAAGAAAGGAGAGGTAAACATTTCTCCAAGTGCTGCTAAAGGGTCACATGATCTTAATCCAATTGAGAAAATGAGAGATGAAATAGACAGACATATTCATATTATGGTTCCAACGTATTTTTCATGAATGTGGTGGTTTTTAGAAATGCTCAGAAAAACATGTAAGTTGAGCATCTTGAATGTTGAAGTTACATCGTGCTAAAGGATGTTAATTCATCTCAATCATATCGATATGAGCAAATTATAAATTTATGTTAACTAATGAAACTTTATGTGTATATTTTGTTTAAATGTAATCTAATGCAATATTTCAATAAAGCTTATCTCCATTTTCTTCATACAGTTTTTGGTTCATTATTGACAATTATTACCTTGCGTCTAATACTTTCACACACTCTTACATACAGATAATTCAATTTTGATTTAGATATCTAAAGTTAAGCAACATGAAATAGGCTACAAATTAAAGTGAATAATATATTTTCTAACAATTTATTAACTATAATGGAAGCAACTGAAGTTGTAACAAGATTTACTCAAGTAGAAGCAGCAAAATAACACAAATAATTAAAATAAGTTAATTTGTCTTTTAAAATAGTAAATTTTAAAGCATACAAAAACAATACAAAAGACCAACAAAGTTATTAAATTGTGCAAGAAAATAAATCTTAATTAAAAAAACCCTTGCTATTGTTTTGAAATAAAGAGGAAGGATAGTGGTTCTGTACAGGTTAGCCATGCTCATTACACAAAGAATATTTTCAATTGGTCAATGTAAATAACTGAAGATATTACATTGGGTCTAATAATCAATGCAATTGATACTGATGAGAGTCCTCTTGATAACAATTTCCATAAAGGCAAACTAATTAAATGTATCTTGTGTGTTGTCCCAGGTCTGATATTGCCTATGCTGTAGGAGTTGAATCTCAAAGTTTAGAGAAGTGATGTACGTAGTTAAAGTTAATGAAATGTGTTTGGGTTATTGCTTGCAGAATACTCTTGACAATGGAATTACCTACAGAAGCAGTATTCATACAAATATATTCAGATGCTACAGCGAAAACAAGACTTGAAATTGTTTGACAATGAAATTGAAGATTCTGAGTTAGATGAGTTACAGCTTCATATTAAACTAATGTTTAATATGAAGCTGTAACTCATCTAACTCAGAATCTTCAATTTCATTGTAGAAAGAAAACCCATTCATCAAAGACATTTATTTGCACGAGATTAAGCAACATTTGCGGAGATCAATATTTCAATAGTGTGTACGGGAAACTAACACACAGATTTGTTGAATATGCCTTTGTTTGCCATTCATTTTTAGACTTTACATAAAAACAGGGAATCATTTGATATATTGAATATTTATGTGGCCTTTGAATTGAATGGAAAAACAATTTTTAAATCTAGGTCTTTTGTATTGTTGTTCAAAGAGTTGTGTTAACATCAGAAAATCTTCAATAAAATATATTATTAGATAAAAACAAACATATCAGCAACAAAACACATTTATTTGTCAAAAATGTGGCTGACCTTTTCAGTTTATAGTAATTTATATCATTTTGAATAGAAAAGTTGTAATATCCTCACAACTTAACTCATTAAATTACTAAAATCATATTCACATTTATTGTAACTTTAACACCATAGGCATAATATTTTAGAAGAATTCTTGAAGAAAACTTAAGTTACCCACCTGAATTCACCAAAACACACACTGTACAAATGATGAATAATTCCCAAGTGGATTTGATCATTTTTTTTCTTCATAATTTCAAGTAAAATACTCTGTTACATACATCGGAAAATCCAGAATCGTCTGGTAAGTAATATTCTATAACATCGACTGCTAGCCAATATACAAGATCGTGGTAATACATCACACGGTTGTTTCCGATGTGTTAGACGTAATGTAAACAAACAAACTGAAACATATTATTATACCACTTCACTCGCATTATACAACTATCAGACAATAATTGATTATTCATTTACATCTTCGTATAATAACTAAACGACGCAAGGATAAGGCATTATATAATACTCTTTGGAATAGGGGTGTTATATTTGGCTTTTTATTTCTTGGCGCGTGAGGGACTCTAAGGCTAAATGCACCGAAAATTACTTGTAGGAAAATTCAATAGGTCGCAGCACTATCACAGGGAAATTTACTTTACCGATAAAGGCTGAACCAATGGTCCGATTTTCAAACTGTAAACAGAATTTGACGCCTTTTTAAAACAGAATTTACGCTGCACAGCCCTCTTTCAAAAATCTAGCAAAAACTCTAATTTGAAATTGATGCACGAACTTTCGAGAAAAAAATAAAAAATATGCGTTTATAGCACGATGGCGACATGCTTCCTGAATTCAACACCGTTCAATCATGCAAATCGGATGAACAGGAGCGTCGTAAAGTGAAATTTGGGAAAACACCTCGCCTGCAGTCATCCTTCCGTTGTGGGCCCCGGCAGAGGCCGAACTTGCGGGACAGGCAAGCGAGGCAGTCGGTTTATGCTTCCGACACTTTGCATCTCAATATATTTTTCCCTCACATATCAAACTAATGATGTCGTAACAGAAGCAAATGGTCTCGTATCATCTGCAAAGAATAAAACTATATTGTTCACATATTTCCGTCTTCCTTCGAGTACCGTCACAAAATTGTTTGAGACATTACTCAAAATATCGATTGCAATTTGGAAATGATTTCAAAAAGATAATTGAACTAATTGTGCAATCTCAACGTATCTTACATATATTTTACTTCTAAGTTCTTCCGTTATCATTCCATTTCCAGCGGAAAGAATGAGCAGATATTACGCACGAGCACATTTATCGATTTTTGATCTCAAAATGGTGTTTGTCTCTGTGATAGAATTCACTTCGTAATTATCTTTCCCCGAGTAAAATAGCTGAAGCAAACTTTAAAAACGTTTTCGTACTTTCGGACAAATTTGAAAAGTAATAAATTAGGGCGCTGTTATTGTCGAATCAAATTATTATATAATTTGATATGTTAGAGATTCGTAAACCAGATGGATTTTGAGCAATGTTTTAATTTTGAATATTAAAATTTACAGATTAAATTTAAATGATGTTTGCATTAACAATATTTGTGTATTTGCAATCATAGTGCCAGTATCAAAAGCTCACTATAAAAAATTCACATACAATTCATGTACAGTATTTTACAACACTTCACCAGATGATTTTAAACGATTAAATTCAATACATAAGTTTAAGTCCTAAGTAAACTCTTTTCTACTACACAATGTTTCTATACAAATAGAGACTATAACGATCATCCAAAAGGAAAGAAATATTAATTGTAACAGTGACATGTAATGCAACATTTACCATTTGGACTGATTAATTCTAAAGAACCTGTAAAAATTATTGTACTTCACATTTTGGGTCATTGACCCCCCACCTCGATCAGGTTTTCGTCTAGTTTCCTTGATCCTCGAGCAAATGCTGAGATAGCTCTTTGTTTTACTTCTGGACATATTGTAACTTCAAAAATTAATCTTTTCGATTAATAGTGTTTTTTTCGTATTTCGTTTATGCTCTTCAATTGAATATTTGGTTTGTTTAATTGGTTGAGTTTATTGATAATGGATTCCATGAATCTATTTATTATATAATTAAATTTTTTCAATTTATTTTCGTTAATGTGATGTTCTTGGTGGAACTGGTTCTTCATGTATTTAAAAATAGGCATTTTCCTAACCATCCGATGTTTAGTCATTTCCGAATGCTGGAGCCACTTGCAGCTCTGACATAACAGCATCCACCACTAATAAAAAGAGCCTGTCATAGTGCTTCGGAAGAATCAGTCCGGGCGTGGCATCTCAGGAAGAAAAGAAAAATAGAAGCTATCCGCGCCTTCCTGCTAGACTCTGGGTGTGCCTCGACGGAAGTGCTTCCGCTGGCGGTGGGCGCCCTCGGCGAGTGCAGAACGGAGACCATGGCCGCCCTCCAAAAAGTTGCTGCGGGCCCTAAGCGCGAGGCCCTTCGAGAACCCATAAGAGTGGACGCCATCTCCGAACGCGCGACCTGCTTCTACGCGCCAGCTGGCATCGCACCCCCACCCCCACCCCCACCCGTCGCTCACACCCCTCCACAGCATCAGGCACTGGCCAATAACAAACCTTCATCCTGTTTGTCACAGTGCACAGTGCACAGTGCTGAAGGTACATGGGTAATTTCTCAGACACCTGAATCACAGGAAATAAGTCAGGCAATTGCAGCTCTTTGCTGAATTTGCCTTCTCCCGCACGATCTCACCGCAAGCCTTGTGCCAAAAAGTTTAACATGTTACCTCGTGTTTATGCAAATTATTTACGTTTACCTTAATTAAAAGTCCATTGTTTTTTCAGTAATGCTATTTTACTATCATCATTAGTAATGTTTGTCAGTTCAGTTTTAAGAATTAAGCATTCATTGAAGCCCATCAAGCCAGTTTTCAGATAGATCTTAGATATTATAAATGTTTTTTTTGCCCCCGGCCAATATTTGCCCGGGGAACCGAGTTCATATCCCTACTTTACACGGTGTTTTAGAATACCCAAGCCCTCAACTGGTTGGGTCATTCGAAGAGAATGTTCAGTAATTCAAATTTAGAATATATTTTCTCTATCTCAACCTATAGGTCAGATGATAAAGGATTATCTCTGCTTTAATTTCAGATATACTTTCTAGAAATCATTACAATCCATACTTTTTCTAAGTATTAGATCTTTTTACCTTTATGAAAACGTTTTGCAAAACAAAAATACTTATTAGAAAATATTCATTGCGTTTTCAAAAATGCGCCCTCTTTCGCGTTCCGTGCTATTGATTTGCATTGCACGTTTATATCACCAAATGTTTGATTGCTAAGCTTCACACGTTTGTTGTTGCTAGACTGCCCCTGAATTTTTGTGTTACAAACGTTTCTTGTTCTTTTGTTGATAGGTGAAGGGAGTTTTGCGTCAGAGAAAACCATCACAATCCAGACACAACAGAGCCCTTGTACAGACTTGGATTGCATCTATAACAGTAGCTTCAGCAACAATGGCCAGACCACGCACCACAATGACGGGCCTCCTAACAGCAGCATCCACAGAGGAAAACGTTTTAAGTGTTCCATTTGCAATACGATGTTCAGTAGAAATGAAAACTTTCATAGGCCCTTACGCTCCCACACTGGTGAGAAACCTTTCCGGTGTTTCATCTGTGAGAAGACCTTCACTCAGAATGGACATTTGAATACACACATGCGCATCAACACTGGTGAGAAACGATTCCATTGTTTCATCTGTGAAAAGACCTTCACTCAGAAAGGAACTTTGGGTAAGCACATGCGCGCGCACACTGGTGAGAAACCTTTCCAGTGTTCCATCTGTGAAAAGACCTTCACTCAGAAAGGAATTTTGGGTAAGCACATGCGCACACACACTGGTGAGAAACCATTCCAGTGTTCCATCTGTGAGAAGACCTTTACTTTAAAAGGAAGCTTGGATATGCACATGCGCTCCCACACTGGTGAGAAACGATTCCAGTGTTCCATCTGTGAGAAGACCTTCAGTCAGAAAGTAACTTTGGGTAAGTACATGCGCACCCACACTGATGAGAAACCATTACATTGTTCCATCTGTGAAAAGACCTTCAGTCAGAAAGTAACTTTGGGTAAGCACATGCGCACACACACTGGTGAGAAACCATTCCAGTGTTCCATCTGTGAGAAGACCTTTACTGAAAAAGGAACTTTGGGCAAGCATATGCGCTCCCACACTGGTGGGAAACCATTTTAATTTTCCATCTAAGATTACTCATTAAAAAGGAACATTTAGATATTATACTGTTAAATTTACTTCAGATGATGGAGCATAAAATCATTCTATTTTTGGTAATTTTAATATAGGCATTCTGAGGAATAATGATATTGCATCTTGTTATATTACTATATACACGAATTTGTTTATATTTTGCATATTAAAATACCGAAAAGAGTATGAGGTGACATAAGTTATCGTACTGACATCTTCGGCAAAGTTGATATAGATATATTTTACACCCCTTATTAATAATGTATATTTGTCTTGCCCTTTTGCCACAACTGTTTCTAGAGGGGCAATGGCTGACTTGGTCCTGCGGGGGTTCACCTATGCTCACTTGGGTCAAAAGTCCTGCTCTCTCCCCGTAGCGACCAATGTGTGCTTGCTAAGGTGAGAGCTTGGAGGGCACCTAAGGACAAGAGCATGTCTCCGGCGTCTGAAAACGGGAGCATTGAGATAAGGGAAGGAAACCCGGACAGAAAACCAACCTGCTATCTTGCAGGGAGGACAGGGATCTCCAAGGCTAGTAGAAGAAACTCTGTACATAATCACTCAGGCCCAGACGCGGAAAGGGGCCATATCCACTGGGCAGAGTGACGTAAGGCCATCACCCACTCACCCTTACAGCGGATTCTGAGAAACGTATATAGACTCGAACAAGAAAGGCAACTTAAACGACAACTAAAAGGCATTGGACATGCTTATAGGCATATGCAATATTACATCAATAAGACGAAAAGAAGTGAAATAGTAGAAGAGATGGAAAAGTAAAATTTAAAGATTGTGAGCATTAGTGAAGTTAAAAAGAAGGGAGCAGGTGAGGTGGATGTGCGTATGGAACTAGGTATTATCGCGAACCCGGAAATTAATAAGAGTGATAAATTCTGAACCGCAAGAATTATAAGAGTAAACATACAATTAAAGGAGAGTGGCACGGGTAAGTATATATTCACCACCCGAAGACAAAGATACAATAGAAAAGGTAATGTTTAATACTGAACATCAGAGAGTAATAGAACAAACAAAAGACGAATGATCATGTAATGGGAGACTGGAATGCTGAAATAGGATTGGATGCGCGGAAAGGAAAGTGTAGTATGGGGAAATATGTAATGGAGAAAACAAGGAATGATAATGGGGAGCAGATACTAGAATGTTGCATAGATAATCAATTGGTGATAGGTAATACATGTTTTCCACGCAAGAAAATACACAAATACACCTTGGAAACGAGAAGAAACCAGATGATAGTTAAAAGTATGGTTGATTACTTTACGTACACGTATTCAATTCGATACGCAGTAATGGATATTAGTGTGTATAGAAGATCAGTATTAAGCACGGAACACAAGTTGGTGGTGATGACATCCTGTATCAAATAGCCACCTTGAGAACGATTTAAGAAATATTTTGAAATTAAAAGGAAAAAATAGGAATGGAAGAAAATAGGATAAGATTTGAACAAGCATTTGAAGAAA